TCCTTGCATTATCGTAAACGTTCTGGATCTGTGTTGTATTGAAATTTGATAATCCCAAAGCCTAAAACTCATAGATTCCTCTACCCACCTTAGGCATTATGTGCCTACTTAGGGTACTACCTTTAACTTCCCCGCATCGTATAATTTTTCTAGAGCACGCCACGTATCAAGATGATTTATTGCAACAGGCACCTGCATGCCATTTACTAAGGCCACATCAAAGCTGTCCTTTGCCTTCTAAAATACTACTTTGGAATTATTCTCATAATGGTCGCAATCATCAAATCAGCCTCATTTGAAGCTTATTTCTTGCACTGAATTCCACTGAAGCAGCGACCAACTGCTTCAGTCAAATTTCAGTCAAAAAATCGCAAGATTGTTAACAAAATTTGAAAGCACATGAATAGCAAACCTGCAAGGGCAGTGGGCAATGCATCAGATAGAGATCGATGTAATCGACTTGAAGAGCTTTTAGCTGAAGATTTACGCAATCTTCCACATCTTTAGGATCATGTGCTGTGAAGGGCAGCTAAATTTGAGAGCATTTAAATATTTACATAGTGTTTATTGATATTTCTATAAAAAGGACTTAAACCTGCTTTGAACTTTTTACCCGCTACTCATTATAACAAATGAACTTAAATAAAGAGAAAAAACTTTTGTTGTTAACTAAACTAAACTGCATTTACTTAAACTGTGATGTTAAAAGCCATTTTAGGTTAATCTGGAAAAATTGTTGTACAAGGAAAACATCTGATGTTTATACCATGAAATATACCTACATTCAGAAGTAAGCTAACTTCTGTTGACTCTATCCTCGTACAATTAGCAATTTTTGCAACATATTGAAAAAAGGAATTCTTATTCTATAGCACAAGCACCTTCGACAAAAAATGAACTTCCTTCTACATGATTCAGGTTCTCCTCATATTCACGTAAAACTATGTTGTTTGATAAGATGCAAAGTGTCTATCGACGATGTGAAATCTCTATTAGTGGTGCTAAATTTTACCTTCTTCTCTGATTTTGGCATACACGTCAAAGAGCGATTTTTTCCATCTTTTCAAGCATTTTCATAAAATATAAACTGCAATTAATACAACACCGTTAATATAATTTCCGCGACTGTCAGAGGGCGTATGCGTCGTCATAAGCCTCTGCAACCATGTCGGAGCAAAGGCTGCAGGCAAAGGTTACATATATGGTGTTCTTGCAGAAGGCAAGATTGAGGATCGCAGCATTTCGGCTTTTTCAAGTTCAACTTTTTTATAGCCATTATTTTGTATCTACATCCTTTGCATATTTGAATTTTTACCTTTGTCGTAATGAAGAGGTCTTCCCTTTTCACTTTTCCACTAGTAATATACTCCTTAAGCACCTTCCCAATCATAGCTTCATTGTCGTAGAGAAAAGCCGTATCTAGAAAGAGATGGAATAGGAACGAAATGATTTGATATAAACTAACTCTTCTCAAGGGCTGTCACTCTTAACGCCTAATTATTTGCAACATCGTGTTTTCCGAAAATTTTCTTGAAGCGCAGTAGAGAAAACACAAACGTTTTTGGCAAGTTAAGTAATCAACAAAGTTGTCTTTCGTTGCAACTTCCAATCTTTTTTAGCTTTTAGCAGATAGTGAACTACATTTAGCAGATCAAGAATGTCATAACGACGCTACCGTTCTGAAGGTCTGGTTAACGAACCTAACTTGAAATCATGTCTCGCAAAATTTTAGCG